CTCTGTGACTGTTGACACAAACACAACAGAAACTGTAAGATTTCCAGTACTGGTTATCGCTTTTCAACTGTTCATGCTACACAATCCACTAATGTATAACTTGATTTGCTGACAAAAATGTGTCCAAATGATATTTATGGATGAAAAGTGCCTGCAAACATTGAGTCAGTATTAGAAAGAGATGTTTATGATTCATTGTTGATGTAACTGACTAAGACAGCTTCTGATTTATTCTTCCATGACACATCAACTTGGTATGGATTCTTCATTGTTTAAAGAGTTTCATTTAAGGACCACTGCTCTCTCAGCAGAGAAACCCACCAGATGGAATGACTGTGGCAGAAATCCAAAGCAGAGATGATCTGCCTGAAGAACTTTCTGGCCTCTTTCGGAGTCAGCCGGCCCTTCTTCACCAGGTAGTCAAACAGCTCCCCCCCCGACACATGCTCCAACACTAGGTACCTTTCAACATTAAGGAAAAACAGTGTGATTTCAAAAAGACAGTAGTAGGGACAACAAATTGTAAAATTGATTTTTTTATTATTGAAGACTCTTACGGCCCGTCCACTACAGCTTCAAAAAAAGCTTGGAGCTGGGCTTGTCTGAAGCTCGACCAACAACCAATCACATGAATCTCCCGCCCCTGACACACAAGCAGCAGTTTGATTGGCTAGAGCTTGTACTGGCATATGATTTGATTGGCTGACGCTTCCACCGAAAGCTTCAGAAGCTTCAAAAGTTGAACATTGCTCAACTTTTGCAGCTTGAAATGCCAGGAAAGCTCCGCTCTGCTTCCCACAATGCAGTTCGGCGAAAAGTGACACACCCCATTCAAAGTGAATGGGCAGAAGCGTTGGAAACCGTTTTTGAAGCTGTCGAAGCTGTAGTGTGGACGGGCCGTTATAGTTTTAGATACTACGCATTTTGAATGTATGATTCTTGGTCTAAAATATTGATATGAAATCCTGTAATTTATTTTGTTATGCCTTCACTTTAAGCTAACATACCTGTCTATTCTGAAAGATCTTTATTTTAACATTTTAGTGAATATTTTCTTGTTTCAAAAACATTTAAGATTTAATGCAAGAGACGAAGCAGAAACAAGTGAAAAGGGAGATTTGACGAATAGGAGATTAATATAGTTCATAGGAGTAATATTAATACCCAGCCTGCTCCAAAGTTCAGTATTCAGCCACAGAATAAAGCATGCAGACTGCATAGAGCGCAGTTGTGGGGCTCTTTTGAATGCAGAGGAAACTCACAGGTATTTGTTATTCTCGTAAACATCATGCAGCTTCAACACATGCGGATGCTCAATCAGTTTCAGAATGGCAATCTCCCTCTCAACCTGGTTAGAGAGAAGAGACAGATGTGCAGAAAAAGAGCTGAAGATATTAAAGCAGAGAGCACACAAGCCAGGAGAATACAGAAGTTAAATATAGAGAATATGGAGCAGTTTGTGTAAAGCATCTTGATTAAAATCAGCATTATGATCACTGCAACGACCTGACGAGCTTCATACTGTACCTTCATCAGGACTGACTCAGACAGCTTCTCTCTGTTGACTATTTTGACCGCTACCTTCTGACCCGTAATACAATGGACCCCGAGCTTGACCAGTCCTGAAATAGAAAATGTAGAGGCAAAAATAAGACACAGACATGTTTGAAAGACGCGTCATCTAGAGTTTAAATGTCTACATTTAGTAGTTTAAAATCCAGCCGGGTTTACTCACCTGTCTGTCCCTTCCCCAGTGTTTTCTCCAGTCGGTAGGGCCCAACATATTGAGCTGACTGACTCAGAGACAGTTCCTTACTCATACTGCTCTTGAAGGAGGCTAACACACTACTCTATATGCACAGTGGCTATTGCAATCACTGTGATATTATACAGCTTATACAGTTACAAGATGGTGCTCAATTTTGCAGATTTTATTTCAGTGATAATACTGATACACTGACTGGGTGAATGCTTAAAAACTGCAAACTGCTGCTGACATATGGGTGATACATGAACATTCTTTATCCAAATCTGGTTAATACACAAAGCTAAATATAGTTGTTCTGAAGCACAGTTAACATGTATAACGTTGAAGAGAAACTGAGATGAGAGCAAGTTACAAGGCTGTTGTATGCGTTAAATACTGAACACTACCCTAAAGATAAACATGACAAACTAAAGAGTTTTACTCCTGTACATTAGCTTATTTGTATAATGACGTTAAGTAGATATTACGTTGAAATTATCGTATTAGAGGAACGTTAACGTGTTTTTCCACGTAGGTTTGAAAGATTTATATCATTTGCTGGTCGTGTCTAACCAACAAAATGTCAAAATACGCCAGTTGGTTGTTAGCACTGATAATTAAATCTGTTTGACTCTCTCTGGCAGGCCTTTCACAGGTGCAACAACATGCTATGTTTTAGCCTCGCCGCCGCTCTCCCACACAGCAGCGAGGCTAGCTTTAGCTTCAACGGCTGGACCAACGGCCGTCTCGCTGTCAAAAAAAGCGACTCCTCCGGAAGTTCAACGCCAAACGATTAGATTTATCACACGGCCTCCGCATTCTCACAATATTTCGAGGTGAAATTCCTGGCAAAACAACCATCTTTTAGCGTAGCGTAGTCCTCCCCCTCCCTGACTCTCCCCCGTCTCTCTACATCCCTGCAGATCACAGCATCTTCTCCTCTCTCCTTTGGCGTGTCCTCCCTCCTCACCGGCGGATACACAGGTAAAAAAATATCCGCAGATAACCTCGCACAATTATCGACTGCCTTATTTCCCCAACCTCACTTTTAATAATAGTTCACGCAGGGTAAAAGGCCCCCCTGAATTACACTCCCTTTGGTTTTCTTGCCGTAAATCGATATTTTCCTCTCTCCTCTTCCTTCCTTCGTCTCACTCGCATCAGCATCCGGGTCCCACTCTCTCTCTCTCTCCATCCACTCTCATCTCGCTCCCCTCCTCCTCCTCCTCCTCCTCCTCCTCCTCCTCCTCCTCCTCCTCCTCCTCCTCCTGGTCTTCTTCCTCAAAATACGCTTATCTCTGCATTCACCTCAGCACCGCGGACACCTCCCTTACTGTTTTCATAAAATAAAATAAAATGAAAAAAAAGTGTAAACATCGCCAGAGGCAGCGGATGGGACGCTGCTGGTGTGGGGGGACTTGGGTGTTTTGTCCCGGCTCTGGCCTCTCAGAATCACCGCTGTCCCGCAGCCTTTGGGCCGCAGTGGGGATTGTGTTGCATTAAAATATATATATATATATATGTACAATTTAATTAAGTACAATAAGGAGGTAATTACATAACCTCAGTATTTCCATTTTATGCAACTGTATAGGCCTTCTCCAGCAGAGGTGGGAAGTAACTAAGTACATTTACTGAAGTAGCCTACTTTTTACTTGTACTTTACTTGAGTGTTTCCATTTAATGCTACTTTATACTTCTACTCCAAAAGGGAAATAATGTAATTGTACTCCACTTCATTTATTAAACAGATTTAACAAAATGCATCCCTAAAAATGTAACTACTGGACTAACTTTTGAAGTAACAAAAGAGTCAAATTATTCAAATATTTTACAAAAGTCAATAAGAACTTTACTCTAATATTTGTATTGTATTGCACTTGATACTACTCCTCTACAATTGATGTGACGTAAATTGAATTAGATTATTGAAAACTACTTATTACTAATTATGATTACTAATTTGAGGAATATTACAAAAACATAATTACTCAAATTGTGTGATTAGCTACAACATCGAAATACATAAATAGTATTAGAAGTATAAAGGTAATTAAGCACATTTAAATTATTTTAACTCACTGGTAACTTGTAATAAAGTATGCTATACTAAAGTGAAATATCCCAATGCTTTTTCCAAAACTGTAAAACATTAAATTAACTGACGAACAGCTTATATTAAACGCACATTCTGTGTCACCTTATTCATACATTGTCAGCGCCATTTACATGATATAATCACACATTTTTCTCTTTGTATAAAAAACACCAAATGTCCCAGAAATTCATGATGCCAGCTATAGACCATAGGACAAAAATAATATTTTCTGACGATCACATCTCCTTAAATAAGGGTGACCCATCACACCTCCTCATCTGGAGATGAAACTGAAAAGATATGTGTTGGGTGCTGATTTAAAGGAATCACACATAGATGAAAAGGAGGTATGTAGGACATGTGAATGTATCATCTGTAAAGTGCCTCGAAAAATCTCTAAATCTGAAATGTTGTGTGTGGGCGGATAATTCCCCAAAGCCCATCTTCATCTGCGCCTAGCTGGTTGATTTACACGCAGCCAGAAGGATTTGTCTCCAACCATGGTGCAGAAATAGAACTGGAAACACTCATTCTACAATCGTCTGTTTCCCTCTGGTGGGACATATTTTGTTGTTTTAGATCAAAGTACTACAGAAATGATGGGCCTCAATCAGTGCCGCAAATGATAAAGTAAATCTTAATGGATGATAACAAGACATATTGTAAGGCGTGATGCTATGTTTGCAACCAAGCAGTATTTATACTAAAGGAATAAAGCAAAGATGGGAAATAAAAAAGAAGGACAAAAAGTCTCAGCCTTACATTTTTTTGAGGGCAAAATAAAGTCTGCTTTATCTTGCAAATATTTGTAAATATATATTTTTCATCCACAACACCCGGATCTGTCTATTTTGTCACATCCGGTTTGTGAATAAATCATTTCGGCTCCTAAACACCTTTTCTCTACTGAAAATAAGGAACTCTGACTTTTCTTCCATCTCCACTAACTCATTGCAAGAGCTCAGACTCGGAAAGCGACATCAGACTGCTCAGTGCAGGTACTAATGTGAGGATTAAGCAGAGATTAACAAACTCTGCTTAATTCCATTAAGAGCAGCTATTCCACATGAAAGCATATATGCTCGGCCAGTGAAGAGATTTCAACAGCCAGCACATGTAATAAAACATAACAAAAATGTTTGAAATAAAAACGTGTCAATAGAGTAGCTTTTTATTTATTGCATTTTTGTGCAAAAAAGGTTACAGTGCAGAGTTTATCAGAGTAGAATCCATAATGGAGTTATCACAGTTATGACAACAAATGTTTCACATTGACAGAAGAATACAGTATTTCACGACATTCAGTATCAGCACCCCCCTCTTCAGTTTTTCTGATGGTTCGGTCCGGTGCAATCAGCAGTGAAGGGAATGCTGGGAAAAGTGGAGGATTGGGTAAAGTGAAGCTGCGATTTAAATAAATAAAAAAAGATGGGAAATGTTATGAATATAAATATGTGATTGTAATTCAACACAATACAATTTAATCTCACAGGTATATTCACCCTTCAAAAGACAATCAATAGTTTAGATGGAATAAAAAAGCATTATTTCACATTAGCTAGCCAGTAATATTGTAATTGGAGCAGCTTACTTATTATTTTCAAGTATCCATTTGCCCTTTAAATGTCCTATCTTTACAGTTTCAATACTTTTTTCCTAATAAATTTACCTTTTTCATTTGAGTCAAAATTCTGGTAAAATTATCATATACTGTAACTCCTAATAAACTCACTTAGTGCATTCTTGCTCATTTAATTAGTAGAGTGATGTGTTCATTTTGTGTGATTATACATGAAAGAAAAATCAGAAATGATAGTTTGTAGTCAATTGTGTGAACTTACCTTTGATGAAGATGGACTTCCTTACGTATCATGATCCCTCAGACAGGGTTTTTAAACAGGACTGGAAGGCGTCCATCAGATCTTTGCAGGCGTCCTCTCCCTTCTCTCTGACACTGAAACACAAAACTGGGTTTACAAAACACTTAACACTCCCGGCACATGTATATAGCTTATCTTCTCTGACACAATAACATGTTTCAGTTTAAAATTGTGCAAATTACACAATGTAAATGTTGAGAAAAACAGTAAACACATTAAAAGTCACCTAAAACTCAGTGGAGGAACGTAAATAATACTGCTAAGTGTATTCAACGATGTGCATGAAAGGGATTATTACAGTATAGCCTGATAATAAAGTACTCTACTCCTCTGCATTTACTAAAGTACAATACAAAAATTGCAGCAGCAGCTACACTAACGACAGCTGCACCTGCACACACACAAAGTGTTTCATGTAACACGAACCAACAGACTGGTATGTGCCGATGCTCTGCAATAGGTCATACATATGTAAACCTATTTTAAACCTCAGGTCTATTTTTGCTTCTTAAGACATTTGCATTACTGTAAGGGTCCTCCATAAATGTCGAGTATTCTACATGAACTCTAGTTAGACTTAAGGATTACAGCACTCTTACAAATTGAGCCCAGATGAGAAGTGAATATGAAAACATTGGATGCCCCGAATAGAAGTCAATGAGTGTTAACTGAGGATGGCCATGTGGATGTAATTGAAGTGACAAGTATTTAGTTGGAACCCAAACACAGTTAATTCATTTCCCCTCAGGGCACACAGTTATACAAAGACCCTCTCTATTGGCAATTACAGACACCAAAGACTGTCACGCTGGCTGATGAAATAGTAATGTATGTTTGTACAAATACAATGTTAGTATCTATAATTGTACCTTAATTTCAGTCAGTACTCACCATTTGTCAAAGTCCTGTTTGATGACCTGGCATGATGCTGGAACTGCTTCATTGGAGTCTGGCATTTTGACAGGGAAGATCTGGAGTTAGTGGCTTTACCACAAGAGCTGTATTCATGTATGGTTACAGATTGGTTACAGCGATGAAGGGAAGGAGAGACAGAGAGAGAGAGAGATAGAGAGAGAGAAAAAGAGAAAGAGGGAGGAGGTATGACAGCAACTTTGTAATAAACTCAGAAGAAATTAATCATCTACAAGAGATTGCTCAATTGATTTGTTTCTCCAGTCTTGCTTTTTATTTCACTTTTTGCAAAATGTTTGTGAAAGTTGAGTTTCTTTGCTCCTTTCTCTGTGTTTACATGTATCTTCTATCCATTATGTACATTAACCTACAAAATGTAGGTAATCTCAAATGCTTTCATGTCCATCCTTTGTTTGACAGCCTTTCTAATGAATATGCAGATAGCTGACCTTTTGAGTCAAGCATTGTGCATTACAAAGACCTCATAATGCATCTAAAATACTCACCACAGGGGAGGGTCTTCTCCTGAAAGGAGATGGGGAAGCCTGTTTCTGTTATACACTGCTTTGTTAGCTTAAGAGGTAGGGAGTTGTAGCAAATATGACAAAACATAGGCAAGGCAAGGCAAGGCAAGGCAAGGCAAGGCAAGGCAAAGGCAAGGCAAGGCAAGGCAAGGCAAGGCAAGGCAAGGCAAGGCAAGGCAAGGCAAGGCAAGGCAAGGCAAGGCAAGGCAAGGCAAGGCAAGGCAAGGCAAGGCAAGGCAAGGCAAGGCAAGGCAAGGCAAGGCAAGGCAGGCAAGGCAAGGCAGCAAGGCAAGGCAAGGCAAGGCAAGGCAAGGCAAGGCAAGGCAAGGCAAGTTTATTTATATAGCACTTTTCAACACAAGGCAATTCAAAGTGCTTTACAAAAAATGAAAGACATTAAGAAAATGGCATTTAAAATCAGTCATGAAAAGCTAATAAAATAAACATTAAAAGAAAAAATACATGGATAAAAGTTACAGTGATAAAAGTTACAGTGCAGTCTAAGATATGAATAGTTCAATTAAAAGCAGCGACAAAAAGAAAAGTATTCAGCCTGGATTTAAAAGTAGTCAGAGTTGCAGCGGACCTGCAGGTTTCTGGGAGTTTGTTCCAGATATTTGGAGCATAATAACTGAACGCTGCTTCTCCATGTTTAGTTCTGACTCTGGGGACAGAAAGCTGACCAGTCCCTGAAGACCTGAGAGATCTGGATGGTTTATAATTTAGCAGGAGGTCAGAAATGTATTTTGGGCCTAAACCATTCAGTGCTTTATAAACCAACAGCAGTATTTTGAAATCTATTCTTTGACACACAGGAAGCCAGTGTAAAGACTTCAGAACAGGAGTGATGTGATCCACTTTCTTAGTGTTAGTGAGGACTCGAGCAGCGGCGTTCTGAATCAGCTGCAGCTTTCTAATAGATTTTTTAGTGAGACCTGTGAAGACACCATTGCAGTAGTCGAGTCTACTGAAGATAAAAGCATGGACAAGTTTTTCCAAATCCTGCTGTGACATTAATCTTTTAATCCTAGATATATTCTTTAGGTGATAGTAGGCTGATTTAGTAACTGTTTTAATGTGACTGTTGAAACTCAGGTAAGAGTCCATGACTACACCTAGATTTCTGGCTTTATCTGTTGTTTTGAACATTACAGACTGAAGCTCAGCGCTAACTTTTATACGTTCTGCCTTCGCTCCAAAAACCATTACCTCAGTTTTATCTTTGTTTAATTGGAGAAAGTTCTGACACATCCAGTCATTGATTTGTTCAATGCACTTACTCAGTGTTTTAACTGGAGAATAGTCTCCTGGTGAAATTGTTACGTACATTTGTGTGTCATCCGCATAGCTATGGTAACTTATTTTGTTGTTTTTCATTATCCGAGCCAGTGGTAGCATGTAGATGTTAAAGAGAAGAGGCCCCAAGATGGAGCCTTGAGGAACCCCACATGTCATATTTGTCAACTCAGATGTGTATTTTCCTATAGAAACAAAGTTGTTTCTGTCCTTTAAATAGGATTCAAACCAATTCAGAACTGTTTCCGAAAGTCCCACCCAGTTCTCCAGTCGGTCTAGTAATATGTTGTGGTCAACAGTGTCAAACGCAGCACTGAGATCTAATAATACTAACACTGAAGTTCTGCCACTGTCTGTGTTTAAGTGGATGTCATTAAAGACCTTTACAAGAGCAGTCTCAGTGCTGTGGTTTGGACGAAAGCCTGACTGGAACACATCGAAACAGTTATTTAAATGCAAGAAATTACTCAACTGTTGAAAAACAACTTTTTCAATGATTTTACCTAGAAATGGGAGGTTTGATATGGGCCTGTAATTGTTCATTACTGTAGCATCTAGAATATTCTTTTTTTAAGAGCGGTTTAATGACTGCAGTTTTCAGGGCCTGTGGAAAAATACCTGAGTGAAGAGATTTGTTTACTATATGAAGTAGATCTGAGGCCATGCAAGGCAAAACATCTTTGAAAAATCCTGTTGGAATAATATCAAGGCAGCAGGAGGAGGATTTCAGAAGTTGTATAATGTCCTCTAGGTTTTTATCATTAATCTGATGGAATTGTGTCATGGTGTTTGAATTGATGTTAAGTGGACACAGAGACAACACATTTGCTGTTCCTGATGCAGAGGCACTGACTGCTTGTCTGATTTTCTGAATTTTGTCAGTGAAAAAGGAGGCAAAATCATTGCATTGTGGATAGAAATTCAGAGGCTACTGACACTGGGGGGCTAGTCAGTCTGTCGACGGTAGCAAACAAGGCACGTGCGTTGTTTTTGTTTTTGGTAATGATGTCAGAGAAGAACGATTGTCGTGCGTTTTTCAATTCCAAATTATAAAGGCCAAGTCTCTCTTTATAGATTTCAAAGTGAACCTGGAGATTTGTTTTTCGCCACCTACGTTCAGCTTTTCGACACTGTCTTTTTTCTGCTCTCACGGCCATGGCCTTTCTCCATGGAGATATTTTCTTGCCAGACACTTCCTTTAACCTAGTTGGAGCAATGGCATCTATAACATTTTTAATTTTTGAATTAAAATGATCTACTAGCTCATTTACTGAGATGTTAGCAGGGGCAAGTGTGGAAGAAAAATTCTGAGTAAACATTTCCCTAGTATTTTCAGTTAAATATCGCTTTGTGGTTACCTCTTTTTGAACATTTTTGTGAACAGAAATAGAGCTCTCAAAGAAAACACAGGAATGGTCAGAGAGTGCAACATCAGTCACCACAACCGTAGAGATATTCAGACCCTTTGAGATAATTAAGTCCAGAGTGTGCCCCTTATTGTGCGTGGGCTCCGTCACATGCTGAGTCAGTCCATAGCTATCAAGAACACAAAACAGTTCTTTTGCCCCTCTGTCCTGGGGGTTGTCAACATGGATGTTAAAATCACCAACAATGACTAGACGGTCAAAGTCAATACACACTATAGACAGCAGTTCAGTAAAGTCATCAAAAAAGCTTGCACAGTATTTGGGTGGTCTATAGATATTTAGGAACAGAGCTCAAGAGGAGCATTTCAGCTGAAAGGCCACATATTCAAAAGAATTAAAGTTCCCATAAGATGTCTTCCTGCATTGAAGGGAATCATTGAACAGAATAGCAACTCCACCCCCTTTCTTGTGCATTCTTTCCTGACTCATAAAACTAAAGTTGGGAGATGTTGATTCGATAAGAACAGCTGCACTGTTATTTTGTTCAATCCAAGTTTCCGTTAAAAACATAAAATCGAGATTGTGCTCAGTGATAAAATCATTGATTAAAAATGTTTTTCCTGCCAAAGACCTGACATTTAATAAAGCTAGTTTAAGTTTGTTAAACACACTATCAGTCATGTAACATAGATTGTTTGTCCCCCACGTTTTCTTAAATGACAAGGTATTACAAAAGGTAAAATGCCTAAAATGTTGTGGTCACTTACTATTTACAGTATTTTAGTTCAAGGATTTCACTTCACCACTAGAGGGCAACAAACTCTCATACACATTACATTTCTGGACAAATGGCCTCCAGAGATGTGCATCATTGCTGCCAACAAAATAGATACGTTTTACATTTAGCATTATTCACTAGTTTAGATGTTCATTCACGTATTGAAATCATTTTCTTACAGTATCTTGGTGTTTTTATGCAATTCAATATGGTGAAATGTTAATATGATGGTAAAGCTACTGACAGTGCATCAGAAAACCCCGATAAAAAAATGAAATATGAGAAAAGCATCACTCTGTCATGCTGCCAGTGATTCCTTCTCTTTTATCATGAACATAAAATCCAGTGTGCCATCTGCTGGTGTTCAAATCAAGTGCACATGAGCTCAGGCAGACTGGTACTCCAAATAATAAAATTAGCAAGAAACACCCTAAATCAGGTCTTGGCGATTTAAGGAATGTTGCCAATTGTAAGGAAAATCCCCAGTATTTGCATTCCACTGATTACATGCAAACTGCAGCCTACTTAAGCATCGGACTTGAGGCAGGAAATGCTTCTGTCTCTCAAAACAGGCTCCACATTTCGGATGTAAATTTGAAAAGCGGTTGCTGAAGGCCCATATAAATCTGGTTATCACTGGAAATACTTTTGCACTCGAACGCGTCTCAGCCAATCGCAGCGATCAAGACAGACAGCTGACTATTTTTGTTCGTGTAAAATGCAGTCTAAATTAATATTTGGCCTTTTAATAAGATGAAAATCTGGAATAGCATGCAGGGCTGCTTGGCAGAGTGAATGGAGGTCACCGCAGACATTGAGTGAGTCTCAGCGGTGAGGCACAGAGGGGGAGAGGGAGGACGGACAGCGGCCAGCCGCCTTCAAAAATGGCGTCTCCGGAGGAAAATGAGTAAAAAATATTAAAACGCGGCCTGTTTTCTTTATACTTCCTCGTTCGGTATTGGTGTTTTTTCGCACTTTGTTTTTATTTTACCCCGTGTTTGCAAACTCGTCGTCGCTTTTACTTGAATTGGGTAAAGAAAGCAGAAATCAGGGGAGCGAGTATTTGGGGAAATAAAGGCAGCCCTGTTTTATTTTTGATGCGTCGTTAGTGACAGCTAGCATCTGCTGCTAACCCATAGCTCTGCTCCGGAGGGGGGTGGGAACGATTTGCATTCAAAGGAGAAAAGAAAAAGGATTTTGCAATTGTGGGGATTTCTTTTTGCTCGTCGGTGGGGAGTGATTGCTACCAACGTGGCCCCGTCGATTGCAATCCTTTTTTCTTCTGGTGCTAGCATCGTAGCAAAGACTAGCCTAAAGAAAGGGGAGGAGAGACGGTGAAAAGGACGCATTCATATCAAATGTTTATCAGAAATTCATCCACCACCGGCCAAATC